CTGGGCCATGGCAAACGGGGTTTAGAGTCTGGCTGGTGAGGTTCTGAGACAGTCACTTTGCTTACCAGCGGCGGGGCCTGGGAAAGGCCTCTTTGTCTTTCTCAACTTGGTTTCTTCGTGGGTAAAACTGGTCTAGTGGAACCCACCTTCCCCGGTGTGGTCAGATTACACAATAATTTAAACCATGCAAAGCACCAGGGAGTGAGCCCACCCTGTCCCACCTGCTCCATCTCCTGACTCTGTCGCCTGGGCTTCTTCAGCGTTTCTAGACTTACCACTCTTCCATCTTCTATGCCCCGCACCCTAGACACTACCATTTGGCTCCGCATTAACTCCAGAGTCTCCCGTTTCATCTCTGGCTTCCGTCCTAGCTCTCCAGCCCTGGCCTCCTCTGCATCAAGTGACCAGGATCCATTTCTAAGTCAGGTTATGTGATGGTTCTGCTTAAAACCCTCTAACGGTTTCCTATCTCACACAGAACAAAACTCAAGTCCTTACCGGGCCTTCTAGACCCTACCAACTTGTTCTGTCCCATCCCTGACCTCACCTCCTCCCTCCCACCACTGCCCTTTGCACCCCATGTCCCAGTCATACTGGTTTCCTGTTTCTTCAACATGCCAGGCATCCTCTGACCTCAGGACCTTTGCACTTACTCTTCCCTCTGATGAAGCCTCACCCCCAAACACCACATTACTTGTTTCCTCATTTCCTTCAGGCTTTGGCTCAAAAGTGATTCTTTTAGAGAGACTTTTCCTGGGCACCCTAAGTAAAATAACACCTGCCCCTGGCAGTCCCTGGCATCTTACTCTGCTTGATTTTACTCACCACACTGGAGGTGCTCAGTGTTGGTCAGATTGGAATGAGTTGGATTATCTCTGTGGGCATCAACATATCCATCTTTAAAATGAGAGGGTTGGACCAGAATTTCAGGGTCCTGCTAGCTCTAATGTCCTGTAACTCCTCTTACCCCAGGGTTGGAAAATGACTTGTAAAAGAGAACAAAATAGGGTCTGCAGTCGTGTTTGGGGGCCCACATATAACTAGTTCTTTAACTCGATGAGCAGGAGCTGCACTGTGGTCTCCTGGCTCAGCATTCACAGCCTCCCAGAAGCAATGAGCTCTGCAGGTTATTGAGCGGTGGAGGTTCTGCGGATGAACAAAAAGAAGGAAACCTGAACACCGAGACTGCCATCTAAAAAAATAATGTAGGCACAGGAACTAAATCCAGGTCTGTGCTTCTAGTGGCCATGTTCTCAACCCTACAGTTCTCCAAGTGGCCTGCGCTGTTCCGGAGTCACCTGGAGAAAACAGGCCCAGGACGGCTCCGCTCTCCCCTGCCCCTGGCAACAGCCTCCAACTCCTCTCCTGGACTCCTGGCCTTGTCCTCCACTGGGACAGCCAGAGTGACCTTTATCAATGCCACCTGCCTCTTCGCTCCTCCTCCAGCTAAGGCCTCCAGGCACATTCCCTGCAGGTGCTTCCCAGGGTCCTTCCACTACTTCCAGAGCAGCTCTCAGGGCCACTGGGGAGAAAGGTGCTCCCACACGGGGAGGGGGGCGGGGGGCGCGGAGGTGCATCCTGCGGCAGTGCACCCCAGAGGACATGGAAATCTGTTTCGGATAAATGCAAGGGGATTCCGTGTCCCAGGTTCCAGCAGAGAGCCATTTTAAACAGTTTCGATTTCTGCAATGTGTACTCTCAGGCAAATTCAGGAAAGACTACTCACGTTCATCTGGGGACCGCCGGATTTCCTTGCACATCCTCAGATGCCTCTGGGAGCAGGGGTGCGCCCCTTTTTTGTTTGAGCAACAGCAATCTCCGGGAAAAGTCCCAGCCCTTGCTCTTCGCTCCTCCCCGGTTGGAAGTCTCCTCCTGGGTCCTCCTGGGTCCTCCTGGGTCTCTGGCGTGCCCTCTTGCACAGGCCTCTCCGGCGATTGCCTCTCCCAGGCCTCGACCCAGGCGCTGCCCATCCTGTCACTTGACTCCGGGTTTGTGCTCGTCCGGAGGACGCTAGGCGGGAAGGCAGCCGGGTTCCCTGTACCCGGGTGATGCTCCGTAAAGACCAATCCTGCGGAGTCGCGCAGGGGCGCGGGGGGCGCGGGGGGCGCGGGGGCGCGGGGGGCGCGGGGGGCGCGGGGGCGGCGCGGCCGGGCCGGGGCGGCCCCGCGCCCGCAGTTCCCGCTCCCGCCGCACGGAGGCGCGCCTGAGCTCCGCCCGGGTCTCGGGCCGGCCCCCGCCTCCGGGGCCTCCTCCTGGGGCGCGGGGCGGGCGCGGGAGGAGGCAGAGCCCGGGCTGGGCCTCCGCGGTGGGTGGAACCGGCCGGGGACGTGCAGGATGCGCGGAGGCCTCTCGTCTTGCGCGCGCTTTCTGCAGCCCGAGGGGCGTCTGCGCCTCTCCAAGCCCTGAGACTCGCCTTGCTGGGCCCCCCGCCCCCACCCGCCCCCCGCATCCCCTCCGCGTCTCCCCCAGCCGGCGCTTTGCCCGAGTCCGTGCCGGCCCCCGCGGCCTCCTGACCCAGGAGCACCCGCCGCCTCCTGGGCCCGCGCGGCCGCAGGTGAACGGAGTAGAACTGCAGCTGTCTCCCTGGAGGACTTAACTCGGGAAGGGTGTGCGGGAGCAAGGGGGGTTCAGGTCTCCCCTGCTCTCTGCACACTGACGCTGCTGCCCTCACTACAAGCCCCCGGGGACCAGCCCCTGCTGCTGCAGCGCTGCGTCCTGGGCGCCGGCTGGCACAAGGCCAGGCCTCGGGATGGGCGCAGAGATGCACTGATGATCTGAAGCCCAGTAGTGTCCCGGGAAGCACAGAGAGACCCCAGAAACCCTTCCAGAACCTTCCTTGTCACCTTCCAGCATCACATTTCCCAGGAGACGGCTGCACTGAGCCAGCCAGCTTTGCTGGGAGACCAGAACCGAGCTGGGGAGGGGTGGGGGTGACCCGCGCATGTGCAAGTGAGCTTCCCACAGCTCGTAAATTTGAAAAGAAGAAAACTGTCTTTTGTTGTGCGTGCACATGGGAGGGAGAGGTGGCGTGTGTTCTCAGCCAGTATGACTGGAGCTCAATTTCAAGGTGATGGAATGAGAGGCTTCCTGTTGACATTGCACTTTGATAATTGCCTATTAGCACAGACTGCAGTGACCCGACTGCCCGGCAGCCAGCACCCCGGGGAGCAGGATGTCAGCAGGCGCCCCTAGGCTTCCAACTGGCTCTGTCTGAGCTCAGCCTGGGGATGCTGTGGGGGCTCAGGCATCTCTCCTGAAGCTGCAGGTGACATTTCAGCCCCCTTCACCCCTCTAGACCCTCCCTTCTGCCTCCAGGCAGGGCCTCCTAGTCTTGACTCTGATTTCCTCCTACGCCCTCCTCCATGCTGGCTATTTCTTTCCTGGCATTCTCCCCAGCCCATCCCCACCCCAAGTCTCCTGGAAGGAGGCCCATAATCTCTCCACTGGCCAACCCCAAGGGGCTCCAGTCATGCCTCCCAACCTATCCACTTCTCCCGGGGCTCCTGGGTTGCCTTGACCCATACCTCACACCTGTCCCTGTTTGGAGGAACCTGAGCATTGCTCCATATTAGCTGTCCATCCAATTTGTGTCCCTGCTGGTCTCCCCAAAACCTTCCTGAAACCCCTGGCAGCCTATCCCCTTGTCCCTCTGTTATAGAGCAGCCCTGATATTGAACGGGTTCCTGGCTGTGGGTCCTCATCCGCGCTTACAAGGGACTTATGAATACTCCACTGCAGGCACACACGAAAGGTTCATAAAAGGTTTATTTACAAGGGAAAAGGAAATAAGGAAATGGACAACTCAGGGAGAAAATAGGGAAATAAAGTCTTTAATGCGTCCTACCCGATCCAAAGACCTGGAAACCCAAAGGCACTCTCCGAGCTGGCCGGACGCTGCGAGCTGGCGGGGAACCAAAATGGGGGACCCTCAAAGCCCACGTGTCTGCCTTTTATACCAACCTGGCTGCTTAACCCCACCCTTAGGTCCCAGCCACCTTCCCTTGGGTGGTGATGGGATTTGGAGTTCCCAGTGTCTTTGGCTTTGGCCTGGGGTGGGGGTGGAGTCCACAAAGCCTGCATGGAATTAGCTTTAGGACAGCCTTTTCCCCCTAGCACCTCCAGCGTACAAACACACTGACCACGGGGCAACAGCCAGCAGCCCTACTGGGGACTTTCCTGGGTTTCACTGACTCCCCGCTCATTGACCTGGCCTCCCCCTAGACTGTGAGCTCCTGGAAGCAGACCCATGGCCTTAGCCCACCCTAGACTCCCCACTGAGTGCCTGTGGGAGCTGGGCACAGAGGGGTGCTTATAAATACTGACCAGCGGTAACCCACAGAGGCTGGTTCAGGATTGTCCGGGAGCAGGGCACGGACTGAGGCTGAAGGAGCAGGTGACCCTGCAGTCACTGTGAGTAACAACAAATACCGTGGCAGGAGGAGAAACAGTTCTGTATACAGAAAGATCAGATACCTAAAGAAGGCCCCTGACAGGTGCCCACCCAGCTCCAGCGACACCTCCCTTCCCAGGGCTATTGAGACCCACGCAGGGCCATGAAGGGTCCCTCTGTAGCCAAGAGTGATGTCACCAGCTCCCTGGACTATAGTTCCTGAATGTCACAGATATGAAGGCCTCAGTTCTTTGTGCTTAGGAACCCCTACTTTTCTGACCCCTTCTAGCAGATGCTGGTGTCTCGTTGGTAGATCCACACAGAACAGGAGCCACAGATCCAAGTGTGCTTGGCTGACATCCTGACAGCACGCAGCGGTGACAGCTCACAGCCTTGCTGGGGCCGGGGCTGGTGATCTGAAAGGGCGTGCACGGGGCCATCGGCGCAGGGTGGGGGCCACACCTGGACCAGGCAGGGCCTGCAAGCCCAGTCACTGCGGCTCCACGTGGACGTGGAAGTTTGTAGTGACTGATGCTGAGTCCGGGGAAAAGTTAAACCACTTCAGGGCTGTTTAAGAAGATAAGGAAGCACTTCATTCATTTTAAGTAAGTTTCCCTTCAAACAGCAAAGTGTATTGAGAAAGTTTAAATGAACACATCCTTGGCCAAGTAGACAACAGAGCAGCAGCTGCCGCTTCTGGTTCCGCAGGCCCTCTGTGCACACACTTGCCACCGAGCGGCTCTACCGTCTGTCACCATTTCAGAGACGGCACAAGTGACTCACTGAGGCTGCCACGGCCTAAGTAGAAGGGCAAGTCTCAACATCAAGTGTCCTCCATTCCAACAGCTCCACTTCCCTCTCCGGGTGACTCAGCCCCCTGAGGCTCCCGATGGGTATTAGTGTCCCAGTGTTCCAGAATGTCCTCTTCCTGGGCTTTTTCCTTCCCTCCTGTCTGTCTTTCCACCCCTACTCCCCACCCCATGGGGCAGGGGTTGCCTGGGTGTGACCTTCACCCTTGCTGCATGTTCCCCATTTGCATGCCAGAGTACAAGGCATCCTGCCCTGACATCACTGGATGTCTCCAGATTGGTTCTCCAGAGAGGGGCCGGGCTGGGCACTCATGCCATCAGCACCCCTGACCCAGAATTCACCGTTTACTGTGTGGTTACTGTGGCAGCATGGCATGGAAGGCTCCAGGGCAAAATTCCAGCTCTGCTGCCTACTAGCGGTGCCGCCTCAGAAAAGTTACATAATCTCTCTGCGCCTTGGTTTGCACATCTGTCAAATGCAGGTGATAGCAGTGCCCAGCTCACGGCGTCATTGTGGCCATCCAGCTAAATGGTGCCAAGTACTTACACCTGTGCCTGCCGCTGAGTCAGCGTGGGACAAATGGCAGCGGGATTCTGATGGCAAGGTCACTTACATCTAACACCTCCATCACCTGACTCTCAAATCCTTTTCTAGAAATGAGTCTGGTTATGAAGAATTTGAATTCTCATACCCATCCAGTGAGGTAGGAGTGGGTTTTCTAGTGTGTAGTTGAGGCCTCTGAAGTGCAAAAAAGCAAAGTGAGAGATTCAAGGACAGAGTACCCGGAAGTGGGGTGTGCACCTGGTGTGGTGGTCTGGATGTTTGTGTCTCCCCTTGGCACCCCCGGGAGGTAGGGCCTGGGCTGTGACTAGGTCATGAGCCCTCACGATTGTGATCAGTGCTCTTACAAAAGGGGGAGCCGGTGGATCCCACCATGTGCAGTGCACCAGAGGCGCCCTCTCTGCGCTGGAAGGGACCTCCACAGACACCAAGCCTACTAGTGCCGTGATCTTGAAGTCTCAGCCTCCAGAAGTGTGAGACATAAATGTGGACGAGCCACCCAGGCTGCGGGGTGCTGTCGTGTCATCCCGAGTAGACCAAGGTGCTGGAGCCACCTGAGGCTGAGCCGCCGTCTTGCCAAGGCGTCATGACACCTCTCTGGGTGGAACTGTGCCGGGAGGAACCTTCTTGGGAGAGTAAGAGAGCGGTGTGGCTGCTTCTGAAAACTGGAACTCCCACCTTCACATCCCTCTCTGAAAGACTGAATCATCCAGATATTACAGTTTCAGAATCTGAGAAGGAAATTTGCCAGGGGAAAGTGTGCACATCCATTTTTCTCAATAACAGAGACATTCAGAAGCAAAGGTTATTCTATTACCATGGTTCACAGCAGCTCTGGTGATTTCTAGCTGTGTAACCAATCACTGCAAATCTTAGTGGCTTAAAGTTACTGTCCACATTTTATTATTCTCCCTCACACTCTGGGGATTGGTGGGTGGTTCTCACTCAAGCTCCTTCATATAGTTGTGGTCAGACACTGGCTGAGGCAGAGTCAGTGAAAAGGTCTGCTCACTCTTGTGGCTGGTGGTCAGCAATGAGAGGGAGCCAAGAGCCAGAACACCTGCATGTGGTTTTGTCACCTGGCTGGCCTTCCTCACAGCATGGTGGCTGGATTCCCAGAACAAGAGGCCCAAGAAAACAGGGTAGAAATGCATTTTCCTGACCTACCTTTGGAAATCCCATAGTATTTCCCTTCAGTGGTGACTTCAACCACCATTGAGCCATAAAGTCCCGCTCAGGGGTTGTACCAAGAAGATACCGCCCTGTGAGGTGGGATATATGGTGGAGGCCATCTTTGAAAAATACGTCCTGCCACGTGGCAGGTTTTCTTGGAAAAACTTTTCATTTGAAGGAAAAGGTGATGAATGGTAAATTGAGGTTCTCACAGGACCCCTCCCTATAGTCACGTCTGACGGTAGTTCCTTCAGGGAACCGGCCACACAGACATGGTTGGCAACAAGATTTACTGCTCTGCCAAAGCTGTCATTGAAATAAATAGGATTAGGCCTGCAGTGACTTCATCATCCGGACTGTTCTCACAACATATAATTTGTAGCCATGCTGTGACGGGCAGAGCCAGGGGGTTAGTGGGTGGAAACGCCTGGTCACCTCTAGGATGGATCCCTTGGCTAGAAACCTTGCAGGCCCTTGACCCCATCCCATCTGTAGTCAGAGCTTAAATCCTCTCAAACCCAGCATATTTTTTTTCCATGCAGACAAAAAGTTCTTGCAGTCCACCAGAACCCCAGGAAATTTACTCCAACTTACCCCAGCCCCTCTCCCTGAGCTCCCAGCCCCTCTCCCTGAGCTCCCAGCCCCAAGCGGGGGAGCTTCAGAAATCCAGTCAGACCAGTTGAGAGTCTTAATGCTGAAGAGCACAGGGCAGGCCTGTGCTCACCTCCAGGGGAGCTCCATATCCGTCTGCCATCCAGTCTGGCAGCCCTGAGGCAGGGAAAGCCCTCCTACCCAAGGGAGCCCATCCATTTCCCCTGGCTCCCTGACCCCAGGGCTGCTCCTGCTTTCCAGTCTCCTCTCTGTTCCCTGCCCCTGCTGCTGAGGCCTAGCATCCAAGGCCTTCAGTGCAGACCAACCTGGGGTTGCTCTGTTGCTTCCACTTTGGCCTGAGCAATGAGAGGCAGGACTGACCTTCCAGAAAGACCACAGAGCAGAGCCTCTCTTATGTCCCTGAGAATGCATTCTTGCACTCTGGGGCCTTGGAGAGGGAAAAAAAAAAAAAAAAAAAAAAAGCAGAGGTGCTGAGGAGGGGGCAGGGTCTCTGTGGGAGGGGGCTGCAGTTGGCCTAGGATGTGATTTCACACCCTTTGACCTGCCTCACTCACCCCTGTAGAAATTTGTTCCCCTGTGGGCCTATCTGATCCCAGCGGGTGGGGGCAGAGTTTCCTACACCAGTGAATTGCTCCTGATCTCAGCTGCGAACTCTCAGTGTAGAGCAGCAAAGAAGTCCAGGAATTTCCTAAAGTCCCAGGCAGTTCACTCCACCCAGACTGTCCAGATCTAGTGTTGACAGCCACCACCCCCCTTTATTGAGCCTTTACTCAATGCCAAGCACAATAGCAATGCCCCATTCTCAGTACTTCATCTTTAAACAACCCATTTTACTGGTAAGGAAACTGAGGCTTAAAGAAGTGAACATTCTCATTCACACTAGTCAGGCTGGCGCCATGGTGAACCTGGCTCTGTTTGCAAACTCCTTGTTGTAAGCACTTCCTCATGAAGTGTCTCTGACATGTTCTGAGCCTGGCAGGCAGCTCACCAGGGTGCCACCCATTCCATCCTCGGCCCCATGCACCAGGCAGAACCAGAACCAGCAGGGTTGGGGTGAGGAGGGGACAGAGAGGCAGGCAGGTTGGCAGGCTGTGGCTCATCAGGAGGGGTGCCCCTCCATGGGCACCCAGCCGAGGTGGGCGTTTCCCTGATGTCCTGCTCCTGTGGAGGGAAGTCAGGCCTCAGAGGCTGAAGTGCCAAAGACAAGAGGGGATTTTGAGATGACTGCAAGGCTAGCGGTGCTGCGGGCCATTTGGACAGTGTGGTCAGTCCCAGGGGAAGTACCTATGAAAGACTCTCTGAGATGTCCCTGAGAGAGTTCTCCACCCTCCCCTTCCAACCCACCTTCCCAAAGGCCCTCTTTTCAATGGAAAGTGCATAGACTTTAGGGTCATATCCCTGATCAGCCAACTTTGCTAGCTGTGTGTCCTCAGGAAAATCACTTGACCTCTCTGAGCCTCGGTTTTCTCCTCCGTAAGTGGGATTCATTAACACTGACAGTGTTGACGGGAGGACTCAAGGTTTTGAGTATGAAACCCTCAGTGACCAGCACCTGGGAGGCACTAGGATGACAGTGTTATTGTTCTGGTCCCGTTGGAGGACAGGACACCAAGGCCTTGGAAGGCAGGGCGCTGTGGGTGTGTTGATCCACCCAAGTCAAAGTATGGAGGAATTGGACACTCAGTGAGGTTTCCAGTGCAGGGTGGATGGGGCTGACTCCTAGGGCCCGGTCTGGCTGACGCACAGGATGGACACTCCTCCGCCAGCAGACAGCTGCCATCTCAGGGGGAGAGGGGTGTCCTGAAAAAGTTGGTTCATCAAGAAGGTGAGGGACCTACAGAAGCAGGAAGGAAAGGAGACTGGGCCGCCCATTCAGCAAGATCCAAGACCAGCAGGAGGCTGGGAGGGGCACTGAACCCAGCAGGCTCCAAGGAGGTGGCGGAGGGGCTGGTGGGGGAGCTGGGGCCTCACTCTGGGGGAGACAAGCCTCTGGTCGCGTCAGGTCAGGGACACAGACAACCTCAGGACTTGGGACTGTGGGACTAGAAGGTGAACTACCCACCAAGCACTCCCCTGATGGGCCAGGTGTTTTTGCCTGCATTGTCTCAGGTAATTCTCACAACCACCATCCTGGTTGTATAGCTGAGGAAATCAAGTTCAGAGATAATAAATGGCTTGGCTCTAGGCCTCAGTCAGGAAGGGCCAGCCCTGAGATTGGAAGCCATGACTGTCTACCACTTTCCCCTGGACCAGAAAAAAAGGGAGGGGACAATGGGCCAAGCTCTTGTTTGTTGGGGACCCAACCCAAGAGAGCTTTGTGTGAGAACCAGTGAGAGTGTCCTGCCCTCACCAGGGGGCCTGACAAGGGCTGGGAACTCGAACAAGAAAGGCAGGTTTCCTGCCGAGCCTCTGGCTCTACAGCATCTGCCAGACCAAGAATTTCCAGCCAAGCAGGCCTATTTGCTGCAGCCACCGCCACCCACCACCCTCCAAGAGCGCAAGTGCTTTCAGAGCCCTTGGGTGAGCATCCACCCGCATGACCCCTCGTCCCCACGTTTGAAGTAGTGTGTCAAATGCGGAAACCTCTCTCAAAGAGATGGAGGAACGAAAGGAGGAGGCTGCTGGGTCCGGGTCTCCCCAACCGTCCTTCACAGCCCTGACTCTGCTCTAATGGCTGTTCTCTCCCGACTGACCAGGTGGTGTCCCTGAAAGAGCACCTGGGGGACTTCCTGAGTACCCCAGGCAGGGCACGAGGAGGCTGACGGGGGCACTGGAGGCCTGGTTTGCCCAGCAGTGTCCATCTGAGGCCACCTGCTATTTGGCTCCAGGTAGCTCCCTGGCCACACACTTCGCTGCCCACATGGCCCCAGGGCTGACAGCCATGTTCCCACCCCGCTGGGGCTGGCATCCAGCCAGGCCCAGTCAGCGCTTTTCAGCTTTTCCTGGTGCACCAGCTCAGAGCCCTCGGGGTTGGTCTGAAGGGAATCCCTGTTTCAGTGACCTGCCCGAGGGCTCACAGGGCCCACGCCTCTTTATTTCCTGAAAACCCCCATGCACACAGCCACCAGCTGGGGCGGCCTGCAGTCTCATCCCATCCCATGAGCTCCTGGGGACTCAGAGAGTGTCCCCTGCTCACCTGCCATGATGAGCTGAATCTCATATCCTTGACGAAGTTCTGTGCTGGGGTGAGGGGTGGGGAGGGGCTTAAACCCCATGGGGAGCTGAATTCATTCATTCACGTAACAGACACACGGGGTATGAACGGCCACCACCTCCCAGGCCTGGTGGCTGGGGTGACAGCAGCGGTCAGCAGTTCTTTAAGCCCTGGAGTTCTGACATGAGCAAGTGAGGGCTCTGTTCTTCTTTTCCACACTAACAGCGAGAGGGCTGGACTCGGTGGTCCTGAGGGAACCATCCAGATGGCAGAGCAGCCTGAGACATGGGGCCGATTTGAAGAAAAGTTCCTAAAGGGACCAAGTCACCTGGGTGCCGTGGGGTGGTGCCCCTGCAGTCACAGAGCCACTCAGGCGGGGGTGGGTCCAGGCATCATGACCAGTCCCAAGGTTGCAGATGAGAGCACTGTAGGGCCCCACCTGGAAGATGCTGACAGTCAACATGAATGCATCTCCAACTCCCATTCCCACACCAGCCCCAGGGACCCTCCACCTCTAAACCACCCCGCCCCAGGACCCCTCACCTGCCACAGCCAGGATAAGGAAGGAACTGCCCTCCAAGGCTATGAGGCAAGCACTGGCAAGCTTGGGCTCCTTGGAAGCATCTAGATAAAGCTTTCCTATAGGAACCCCAAGCAAGACCTTAGCCAGTAGGGTGAAGTCTCTCCCACTAGGTGGGACCTTCAATCCGAAGAACTTCCATGGCCTCCATGAGAAACTGGCTGGTGTCCTAGTGACTGGGTGTTCTGGCCGCTGGCAGCCCTTCACACCCACCTTGCCTGCCATAGTCCTTAGCCCTGCATAGGAGATCACCGGGGAGCTGAGCTCCTCTACCCCCAAGTGCAGGGACCCCAGTGAAACCCTGAGGGCACAGAGCTCTCTGGCATGGGAAGGGCAGAGCCCCCAGATAACAAGGCCAGAGGCTGTCAGGGTGGTGCCCAGGCCACGTGCCCTGCATGGGTCTTTGGGGGGTTTGGGCCCAGCAGGGATGGAGCCCAGTCCTGGGGTGCGGGGATCTGTCAGGCCTTGGGCAAACTGAGCTTGTCAGAGCCTGAATGTCAAGTGAGTTGAGGAGATAACACACCATCAACCAGCAAACTTCCTGGCATCGTGAGTCATTTCATCTCCGGAGAGCATTTCATCTCTGTCACAGATGACTGCTGGGGGCTCTCACAGGAAAGCCTGGGGCAGCGGGCAGGGAGCCCAGGACACCACAGGAGAAGCTGGGAGAAGCCCCCAGGCTGCCCTTCCCTGCAGTGTGCCCTGTGCTACTTCCTTCCTCTCATCCATTAACAAGCCAATAACGCCAAAAATCAGGTGAGCCAAAGCAAACAGTCATACTGTGCGCATGTGTACAGGTGTGTGTGTAACTGGTGGTGTGTCGGCTGTCCTGTGAGGTGCAGTCACCATCAGAGAACTTTCTCAGAGTCACTGTTAGGGACTGAACTATGTCCCCACAAATCCATCTGTTGAAGCCCTAAACCCCAGTACCTGAGATGTGGCCATATTTCCAGATAGGGCCTCTAAGGAGGTTACGGAGGTTCCATGAAGTCACAGGGGTGGGCCCTAGTCCAATCTGATCAGTGTCCTTGTCAGCGGGAGACACCGGGGAAGGCAGCGGCTGGCCTCAGGAGAAATCTTGCCATAGAATTTCCAGCCTCGAAAACTGTAAGAAAATAAATTTCTTTTGTTTAAGTTCCTTTGTGTTTGCTGTGGAGAAGGCCCCAGGACACCAGTTCAGTTCTAAGGGGTCTCCAGGCTCATGCACTGCACCTCCTGGTTTCCCCAGGAAGGTCTCCTCGAGGCCTCCTTGCAGGTGCCATTTCCTGGGACCTGGGTTCTGCTGGGCAGGGATGCTCCTCCCTCAGCCCTCACATTTGGGGTTGGGTCACCCTCACTATCTCTTAGAAGGTGGCTCCTTCCTGCCAGGCCTTAAGCTCTCTCAAGCATCCCCAGCACTCAGGGCTTCTCTCTGGTCAGCAGCTGGGCCTCCTACTGCCCAGCAAGGCTTTGCTAGCCTCTTAGCAGGAACCTGGAGCCGGTGTGGGCAAGCGCTCCTCTGCGCTGTCTCTGGGCCATCTCTGGACCCTCTGCCCCTCTGCCCACTGGCTTTACTCCTGGCTGCCTGTCAGAGAATGCCTCCAGGGGGCTCAGCAAGTATTCCAGATGCTATCCTCTCAGATGCTTCCAGAAATCCAACTGGGGCTTCCATTCCTTGCCTGGCTGACCTGGGCTTTCCAGACAATCTTGAAGACATAGGAGAGGTGGGATGTGTCAGTAGGGTGGGCCTAACAGCCCATGTCCTCTCAGGCCTGGACCCCTCTTTCAGCCTGAACGAGAACCTGCTGGAAACAGCACAATCCTGACTGACTGACCTCTGGCCCTGCAGTCACCGAGGAGGCCATGCTGCTTGGTGGGCTCTCGGCCTGAGATCAAAGAGCTGAGGCCTGTGTGTTGAGGGGTCACAACCAGGAGGCCATGGTCAGGAGGTCATGGTCAAGCGGGTATCCAGAACCAAATCAACACCAGGCCCTGTTGCACTAGATTCAAGGAAGGAAAAGATTTGCTTTCTTTCCTCAGCCCCTGAGGATTGTATCTGCCTTCCCTCTTGGGAGGAAGTTCCTTTAAGCCTGGAAAACTCCTGCTGTGCTGAGCCAGATCATCCTGGCTGTGACAGGGTGGAGGGGAAGGAGGGTGTGTCTGTCTGAGCAGGTAGGTGAGGGTTCTCTTGCCTTTGACAGATGGTTTCTTTGATGTGGCCACTCATTCATTCATTTACTAAGAATTTACGAAGCATCTTTCTGACCCAGGGTAGGCAAGAAAGCTGTTTGTGCAGGGATGGATGACTAATGTGAGGGATGAAGAAGTCCTTTCTCTGGAGGCAAGTGGGTGCCTGACAATGAAGGAGAGAGACAACACATATGCACCCCAATAAAACTCCTGCTGAGAAGCTCATTGTGACAGGGCAGCCTGTTTGTCATCCAAACATAATTGGGGCCAGGACCCAGCCCCACACTGCACTGTGTTATCTTTGGAAGGTCCTGGGTCCATCCCATGGGTGTGTCTACTCTGTGCTGCAGGAGGTGTGAGAGGAGAGTTGGGAAAACAGGACTGAGCAGTTCATATAGTGATCGCACCCCGAATGCCATCCCCAGGGGGCTCCCTCAGCCACTGGAAGAGTTAATGTTTCTGGAACATACCAAGGGCTGGCCATGAAGGGACTGATGTCTCTGTTGGTGAAGCCAAACCTGCAGGGACAGGCAGAAGGGCTGGTGCTCTGGGTCCAGAAGGCAGGGGAGCCTGGGCCTGAGGTCTGAGCCCCCAAGTCTCCTGCAGCTGGGTCCTGAACGTGGCTGCCTGGCCTCCCTCAACTAACAGTCCATAATTGGCGCCCAAGGAGGCATTCTCCCTTTGTGGCCTTGGCCTTTGACTCCACATTCATCTCTGTCCCTTTGTTGATCATTTTGTCTCATATTACACCGAGGCAATAGAAAATACTGAAAGGAATGTCCTCATCCTCACACCACCAAAACACACACCTACTCACAGCTGAACCCACCTACTCTGTCTGAGCCCTGGAGCCCATCCTTCTTGCCGTTCCAAGATCTTTGCTCATGAAATTGTCTTGTTATCTTCACTCCCCACCACAGCTTTCCCTCTCTCTGCAGGATCTGCCCCATGGACATGCGGCCTTGCTCTAACTCCCATCTCTTTAAAAACAAAACTTCAAAACAAAACACCCCCTCCCGCCTGCCCCCTCCCCCACGTAATTGTTTGCTCTTCATCAACTTCAGTCTCTAAGAAGCTCTCCCCACTGCTGCCCGGGTCTTGCCACACCTCCAGTTGGGATTCCATTATCAAGACTCCTCTAAAGCGCTCTCGTCACCTCCGTGCTGTTGAAGCAGTGGCTGCTTCTCTGCCCCCTTGTTGGCTCTATCAGGAGGGTTGGTTGACTGTGTCTCCTCACTGAAGTGTTCTCTTAACAAACAAAAAAGACAAAAAATAATCTCTTATGGGCCTCCCCGGTGGCGCAGTGGTTGAGCGCTGGGTTGCGAAGCTGCCCGCAGCCTCTGCAGCGCCGGTTCGACCCCCGGCTGCTCCCCGGCCACCGGAGGAGGGTCCCACAGGGCGCGCAGACCTCTCCTGCCGCCCACTGCTCCCCTCAGCAGTGTACTTCGGTCCTTCTGCCTGTTCTGCTCCCCGCTCTGGCTCTGGTGAATTCTCTCACCCTCCCGCGCTTCTGACTGTACCCAGTGCTTGTGTAAATAAATAAATAAATAAATCTTTAAAAAAAAAAATAATCTCTTAGATTATGAGAACAAAGTGGTGGTCACCTGAGGAGGAGAGGGTTGGGGGTAGGCAAACAAGGTAAAGGAGGGCCAAATGTAAGGTGCTGGATGGAAACTGGACTTTGGGTGGGATCATAATATAGCATACACAGATGCTGAATTATAATGCTATATACCCGAAATCTATGAAATGTTATAATCTAATTTTACTCCAATTAAAATAAAAAATGCAAAAAAAAAAAAGAGGAAGAAATATCTACTTCTCTTGGCTTCAGTGGATACAATGCCTGCTTTTCTTTTATCTCTTTTTGCCCATCGTCTGCTGGTTTCAGTCAAACTTAAATGGTGTCACGTGTCAAGGCCAGATCACGGGCCTCCTGCTATTGTCTGGACACTTGACCTGCATGATCTCACTGAGGCCTTAAAACCACCCTATGCAGATGCCTCCTACGCTCACACGGCTCCTCTTTGCCTGTCATCTCCACTGGGATAGCCTCAGGCACTTCAAAATTAACATAAACAAAACAAACTTTTGATTTCTGTCCCACCCCAACTGGTCTTTCCCACCCTGATCACTGGCACCAGCCTCGCTTGGTGTCTCAAGGACTAGAAGTTCTTCCTTGATGTCCCTCCTCTTCCCAGATGATGAGATTGATCACCTGGTGCTGTGGCCCAACTCAACACAGCAGACCCTGCTTCTTCCCCATCCTCCATCATGGCCACAGGCTCCCATGGTGACTGGGAGAGCCTCCCCGCTCAGTGTTGTTCCCTACAATCCAGCCCACACGACAGCCAGAGAGACCTCTGAAGCTTTTAAATAAGAACCGGTCACTTCTCTGTTACTATTTGAATAAAACCTAGATCCCTTGCTCTGGCTGCAATTCCACACAAAACAGGGCGCCTACCTGCCTCCCCAGCCTCGGCTCCGCCAGCTTCCTCTCCATCAGTCTTCATTCTGTTGTTCGAGCCTGGGGAGCAGGGCATGGTGGCAATTCTTCAGCACTTCCTTCTGCTGAGAATATTCTCCCCAGATGGTTGCTTGTCTCAACTCAAATATCACCTCCCCTCCAGCTCTCAGCTGCTCACTCCACGGTCCTTACCTAGCATGTTCCCCATCATCAAAATGGCCTGTTCTGAGTATTTGTTCACTTGCCGTGTCTCTCCCCACACTCAGGCGGACACTCCTGAGAGCACTTTTCTCCCATGTTCACTGACACACCGCCTCAGAGCAGCCCTCCATAGATAGCTGTTGAATAACTGGGCAGACAGAGACCAGGCAGTAGGGACAAAACCAAAGTGGAATCCAGTGTGGTCCCAGGCCTGGGGACTCAAATATAACACGGCGTATAAGAGACCAACTGACGTTTGTAACACACGGCAAGTGCATCCATAAATGCCAGGAGGGTGCCCTGGGGGCCTTGACGGGCACCACCCCAGAGTGTGTGTAAGCATGTGCAGAGGCAAGCTTCCTGGGAAAGTCGTGTGCAAGTGGGGACCAAAGGCTTTTCCGGGGAGGTGGAGGATCATGACTCAGCAGGGGACACCTAACTTTATAAAGAGCTGGGGCCAAAGAACGCAGGAAGAGGATTCTGAAAACAGAGCCTGCAATCCAGTGCGCCTGCCCAAGTGGAGAAAGGCTGTTCTGCCTCCCCTGGGCTGCGTGGAGGAGGGGGCATCATCTGGAGCGAGATCATTCACTTGTTTCTGGAGCGCGAACCAGTGGGCCCTGGCAGCTTGGGGAGCATGTGCTCGGTGCTGGGGTGCCAGAAAGAAAGTAGCTCAGACCTCTGTGGTTGCAGAGACAAAGGAACACCATGAAGATAAAGAAGTCCCAGACCAAGCCCACACCGTGAGACCCTAACCACACTGGGCAGACCCACCGCTGTCTCTCTGCACTGCACACGAGCCTGAGCCCCAGGCTGAAGCTGTCCTGCAGGGACTTGTCCCCCAGCTGGCCCTGCCGGCCACAGAGCCTGTCTTCCCGCTTGCTCCTCATGCGCTTACTCACCACACACGCAGTACACGCATCACCTCTGCTCTCTCACACACACCCACACCTGTCCTCATGACCTCACTCGGGCACCTACGTCCTCACACACTGCCCCACCCCACCCCAGGCAGGGAGCCCAGCACGCACACATGCTCACACAACCACATCTGCCTTCCAGAAACTCCACAGCTCTTTGGGGGGACCATGGGCATTCCAGGAACACACCTTCCCCAAAACATCTGTAGTATTACAGAGAGCGCAAGGCAAGGCCACCTGAATTGTCTATGCAGATGACAGGGCAAGACAAGCAGGCTTCTTGGAAGAGGAGAATATGAGCTGAGCTTGAAGAAAGCTGTGGAGTGGTGAAAACAGAGAGGAAAGGGTTGGTTTGTTGAAGATACTGAATTAATCAGGCTCTTTAGGCTACAAAAAAGATAACATGTCACCTTGCCTCTTGGAGCTGAAAAGCCAGGGTTGGTCTGCCTCAGGCAGTGTGGGAGCAGGAGGCAAGAGTGATGTCAATACAGCTCTTTCTCCCCAAAGATGTTTCCCAGCTGGATTCTTACCACCTGGGAGACCAGATTGACCTTGGCAATTCGAGTGGTCGGAAACTGTCTTCACTGAGAGCACCAACAGAAAAGGCTTGGCGGACTCGATTGGCCCAGGCTGAGATCACACACTTATTTCTGCACCAATCCTGTATGGTCAGAGATTCCGAGCTCATGGATTGGCTAAGTCTGCTCTCTCACACACACCCCCACACCTGCCCCAGGACCTCACTGGGGCACCTATGTCCTCACACACTCCCCCACCCCACCCCTGTAGCAAGCTGGGTCCATCCAAATCACTGGGATGGTTTTCTTTAGAGGAAAAAAGTCTATGATCGGAAGTGGGAAAGTGGAACTAGAGAGAGAAATCAATAGAGGTCAAACATCCCTTCCTTAAATATTAGTGAATCCCTTCAATATAGAATTCCACATTTCTAGAAGCTTCCACATAATTTATCCATTTTGCTCACCAGGCGATGATCTTTAGCCAAGCATGGTTATCACCCTCTTTTTCCTATTAACCAAGAGCACTTCCAGACATGGCACTTGATTTTTCTTCTCTGCCACCATAGAGCACAGAGAATCATCTTGAAGTCTCTTGGGTCATCTCTATAATCCTGGAATTCCTGGGTAAAGCGAAGAGGGTAAGAGGAAGGCAGGAAGAAGAGGTAAGACTTAAGTTCTTGACACAGCAAGTGTGAAGGGCCTTTGGGACAATGGAGTGGGACAGCCCAGGAGGCAGGGAGGTCATCTGTCTGGGCCTGACTCTTCTCTGCTAGGAAGAACCAGGATCAGCACCAGGACCTCCTCATCTCGCAGGGAGGACCTCGACAACTGTCTGTCACCTTCTACTGATCCCTTCTCTCTCAGGCACCTTATTGCCACCTCTAACCCTCCTCAGGGCTGCATAAGCTGTTCTCCAAAGATGGTCCCCAAGGATGCAGGCCTCCTGGCATTCTTGCCAGGACGTGGTCCCTCCCACCTGCATCTTGGCTGACCTTTGACACACAGAACATGGTAGAAGTGATTCCAGGCCAATTCCAGCCTTAGCTTTTAAGAGGAATGGCAGCTTTTACTTCCTCTTTTAGGGACGTTTCATTTTTGTGATCCCCAAGTCACCATGTGAGATGTCTGGCTACTGTGCTGGAGAGATGACATGGGGAGGCCTGTAGCGAAGGAGAGCCCTCCAGTCTAGCCTTGTAGTTGAGTCTCCAGGTGGCCTAGTCCTAGTCTTTATCTGAATGCACTTGTAGGAGAGACCCCCACAAGAGACCAGAAGAACCAGCCAGCCAAACCCAGTCAACCCACTGAAACACAAGAGATAATGAAATCTTGGGTTTGTTTTTTTTTTTAGTCTCTGAATTTGGCAGTGGTTTGTTATGCAATAATAGACTATAATAACCTCCCTGTTGGGAGACTCAAATATAGATTCAAATATAAGTGATGGGTTATAACAATCTCCCTTGTTGGGAAGATTGGCTGCTACTCCTGAGTCTTGTGACACCCCCCTCCCAGTCCTCGAGACCTGACATGGTTCAGGCAGATTCATACTAAGTGAATAGCCAAGTTATTAACCCTTTCGGGAAGGTAGGCCAGTTTTTAGAGTCAGTGCACAAAAGGCTGTTCATGTGTTGTCAGATTTTAGGACTAAAGCTTCTATAAAGTACCAAAACCCAGTTCCCACAGGGCTGGAGACCAGGACAGAGGCCAGTCCGGCTCCCCGGCTCCCTCTTTGGGTGCTGGCCCAGAGCAGCGGTTAGTGAGACCCAGATGCCATCCAGGTGCCCTGGCACAGCTCTGAGATCATGGTAGTAGATGGCGTGTTTGAGCTGCCTCCCAGCTGGGCACGGCTCTGCCATCTTGGCCACACCTAGATCTCCCTGCTCCCCCGCATTTGATTGGTGTGCAGCCGCCAGGCTTGGCCTGCCCTGGACAGCTCTGTCCTGACTTCCTCTTTTGCAGACCCGGCTCCCCCCACCCCCCATGACTGTAATCCCTTTTTCCCTCTACTCTGGGGAATCTCTCTTCTCTTTTCCCCAGATCTCCAGGATCGCAGGGCTGTTGTCACATGTGGCATGAAATGTGACATGTGAATATGACATGTGTGACTCCTATCCTACTACTAGACTGTGTGCTTCTAGAGACCAGGAACTGTGGCTTCATTTCCCCCAACACAGACACTGTAGAATTCACTCAGTCATTTATTCACTCAACAATCCACTATGTGCCAGCGTCTGTTCAGCAGGGACATAAAGAGAAAGAATGTTGCCTTGCAGTCATGTTTGCCAGGCGGACAGGGAGCTGTGCAAATGGGCAGTGATTACACAAGAATGTAACGCTGAAGAGGTGTGGACACCGCAGAGGAGTACTCAGCCCAGATCAAATGCTCTGTAATGATTGTGTGCCAGGCCCTGTTCCAAGCGCTTCATTTATTTGCTTATTCAGGTTCTCATTACTTTGAAGTGCTTAAAGGGGTAAATTAGTATTATTTTGGAATAGTATTATTCTGTGCTTTGTGAAGAATTTGTTTCACTTTTGTGTACTGACAGCAAGCCGTACACCTGTCCCCATCCACAGCGCCTTCCAGATTATGCTATTTGCTGGTGACACAGTCTGCACACACACACGAAACCCCAGGTCCACGAGAATGCATACGTGCACACACATGCACGGCCTCACGCCAAGTCTGCCGTGTGCGGCCTATGTGTCATAGGCCGACATGAATATATAGAAGTAGAATTACTGGATCCAGGGAAGTGCATTTAAAATTTTCACTGTCCTCCACTGAACATTTGGATCTTAAAAACACACCGCTAAGCTTTTCAAAGCCCTCCCTCTGATGTCTTAGAACGCCCCCTGCCACGACCCAATAACCCAGGGCGGGCAGAGGAGGTGGAGGAAGAATACAGATCTTCATGGTGAAGTGTTTCTTTTGTTTCTTTGTCTTTTAAAATATGAATTTCATATACATATATTATAAATTCATATTTGCATGTGAAATTTATATTTCAAATCACAATAACAAAAGCTAATAAAAATTATATATGTGTGTGTGTATATATATATATATATATATGATGTAAGCTTAAATTAGAAATTCAACAGGGCATGTGTGGTAGGGAGACTTGGGGGCCACCCTGGACCCCAGGACAGGGTTTCCCTGAGCAGGGTAGGCAGGAGAGACTCAGGCTTATTACTGGGGTCCTGGATAAAGCCTCTCCTGCCTCAATGCCAGCCTCAAGGTGTTCAGGTTCCTGAGCCAACCTATGGCTTTTTTGCTTACCCAGTTGGGTTAACTTACCTGAGGCCACTGCTGGTGGTGGCAGAGGCTGGGCTGGGATTGAGGGCAGGGCCTTGGATGTTTATGGTGTAACACCCAGAGGAGCAGAAGGGTTGATGGGTAGACCAGGGTGGGAAAGGTGCTGGGACAGAGAAAGGGCCAGATGTCTGCAGAGAAGGCAAGACGGAGGCCTGCCAAGAGCAGACGGCATTTAGGGTGACTGTGGCCTCACCTCGGAGGGCAAAAGGCAGAGGACAGGGTGTGTGAACCTCAGGGGCTGTCACTGTGATGGATTTGTTTCACTTCGAGCTTTCAGATGAAATAACCAGAGTTTCACCCTAGCTGTGATTACCGGTGTGACTGGAAAGTCAGTTTCCGGCACCCTCTGTACCTCCCCAGCCCTGGCTCCTCGGCCTGGTGGCCCAAAAGGCATCAGCCTTGGAAACCTGGCATCAGACAGGCCACACCTGGGGTGTCTGTGACAGCCAAAGGGGAGCAGCCTCACCAAGGCCAGAGAGGAGAGAGGCCACAAGCACGCTAGGCCCCTCCTGCTGGTGTGGGCACACACGGGATGCCGGGTAGCTTTTCCCAATTGAGCTCAGGAACATTCTCCAGAAAATACTCTGACTCCAAAGTCATTACCTTATCTCTTGTCCTTGGCAGTCTTTGACCCCGCGGCTGGGTGAGGCCGGAAAGAAAGGAAGAGGGTTAGGAGGAGAGGAGTTTGCCTTTGGCTGTGTCTCAGGCCTCCAGCCATCTGGGGAGCAGAGGATGGGAGCAGTAGCGGCTTCAAGCAGAAGCAGAACACAGGACAGAGCGGCCAGAGCAAACCCCACTGACCTCAGGATGCTGCCCCGAGAAGAACTTCACCTGAAGTGTGGGAGAAACTCAAGGCCCTTCACTTAAAATTATAGAAAAGAGGAACCCCCTAATCCCAATACCTTGGAGAACCGGAGGCTCCTGAACAGCTCAAAGAGGGGTCACATGGGAGCAGATCAGGTGTGGCTTGCTGACTCCCCCAGGTCCAGAGTCAGGTCCAGGGGAGAACCAGACAAAGCCTCACAGCCCAGAGGTGACCACAGGGTGCCACCGTACCCAGATGCCCCCTCTGGTGGTGGCCCCACTATGGCACTGCTGCCGCTAAGGCGGGACCCTCCACCCTGCGCTTTCAGTGGAGGGTCCTGCCAGTCCCTCTCAGGGACATGGGATGAGCAGAGCCTGGTCAGAGCGGCCACCCCTCAGGAGGTGGGAGAGCACACTCTGGCTCTGCCTGGGGCAGGAGGGGCTCAGCAGGTGGCCCATCCTCCAGGCCTAGGAAATGTGTGGGAAAGATGCAGGAAGCCCCCAAACATGACAAGACTCACTGGAAAGGCAGACCTGGACAGAGGGAAGAGGGAGCTCTTTCAAGAGGTAGGCGGCAGCTAGGAAAGCAAACCTAAAGGCAGCAGGGCGGCCCGTGGACTTTGAGTCCTTGCTGGGGCTGGAGCAGGGCCCAGACCCCACTCCCCACCCTCAGGTCCTACCTGGATTCAAGCTCCCAGATCTACCCTCCCCCCACCACCTCTACCTCCACCCCAAGAACCAGAGCCACAGTCTTGGCCCCACCCACTACCTGCATCCTCTGGGCCCAGAAAGCCTCTCCCAAGTTCTGAGCAAGGGACCAAAGGCTGAGGACAGGCACTCGGAGCAGCTGGGTGAGGCATCAGGGCAGCACAGAGAGGCTTTTCAGCAGCGAGCAATTGGGTTCTGAGGACAAGTCCGAGACATCTGGCTGAGCTGCAGCCAGAACTGCGGGGTGTCTGCAGCCTGGTCCAGTGACAGCCCTAGGGAGGGAGAGGGCACCAAGCAAGAGGGAGGCGCTGTCCCGAAGTCCTTCTGTCCTTGTAATGTCCCTGGTGTGCGGGAGGCCTTAGTGCCACCCGAGGAGTCAGGAGTCAGTCAGGGCCCAGAGAAAGAGGGAGGCCAAGGAAGGAGGTGGGGGAGATGGGGGGGCCACCTTGGAGGAGGGACTTCCAGAGGAACGTCTAGAAAAAGAGGAGAGGCAGGACCGGCCTGTGAGCGCTTCTGACTCTGAGCCCAGCGTGCCTCCAGTTCCCGGGCCCAGGGAGATGGGGGTGCCGGGAGCCAGCTCTGCCCTCCTGCCTGCCTCCCCCAGCCCGCCCGAGCCCAGGATGGGGTGCTGGCAGTGTCTCCCTATTACTGCACCCTATGGACTGAGGTGGGGCAGGCTGGCAGGGCCGGGGGGAGACACCTCCTCCTGCATTCCACAGATGTGGTGCCCAGGGCCAGGCTGTGGAGGCCGCGGGGCCTGGCAGGGGCCCCTGTAGCTGCGGAGGCTCCGAGGCG